TATGTCAAAATCTGTATTCGTCTTAGAACTGTTTTGTAGTATATGGTCGACTAATTCATATTTATATGATGCCTATGTTATTATTTTAAATTACGTTATTGTAGGTAGTGTTCTTTTTCATTTTAAATTACTTAGTCTTTTTTTCTTGTACTGCACTTATATTATTATAACACCGTTCTTCTCTACAATATCGTAATATCATAGGATACTTTCTTCCCGGAACTGTTACTCTGGAGCACATCAATCAGTCGATTTGACTTTGACTCGATAATGATATTATATTATATTGTTATATATTGTTGAACGTGGAATAGTTTTTTGTTGAACAAAAACCCAACGGTCGCACGAACGATAATGGTAATAATAATAATAATAATAATAATAATAATAATAATAATAGAACACGAAACCCACAAACTACATAATATCAACATCGCAGCCAACCTGATGGACGGTCGTAAGTCAGAACGATATAATTATTATTATATACATATACATACCGGTCCCTTGTCCATTGTTTGCAGGCGTGACATTTTTTTTCGGCGGTTAATGACCCGGTCGGTTCCTAATAATAATTTAAACGCAAATAAACCAGAGAAAAACTTTAAAAAATCTCCACGTTAATTTAACGACCCGTTCTTACACAATAATACAATATCATTGTTGCGTCGATCATTCCACGGGCAATACCTTAATTCTACAATAGTGATGAGGGTATGTTTTACAGGTCCCACTGATTTTTAAACGAAAACTTACAGTTCAGATCGTTGTATGACTAAATTATAAGCTTAATAGTTTAAATCATAGGGGGGGAGAGAAAATGGATAATGAATATCATCCGTCATCGAATAGTATTTACGTCCACTATAGTACCGAGTGTAAAAGTGACAAGTATTTTGACTAAAACGATTTCCTGATTTTCCATGAACTGTGCCAGAATAAAAGGCAACCACTGGTAATGTTTTTAAAATCAATTAGAAAAAAATAGTACCTGCACAAATCCGCACCTGGGTCGATCGCTACGACGCGATGTAGCTGACTATAGAATAATGCACTGCTTTCAGCTGTTATTAGTATACATAAACAGAAAATTCAAAATACCTACTTATATGAAACTTATATTTGAACAATATTTTTTTGAGCACAAAGTTTTTTTCCAGCACTTCATTCAAACAACTCAGTATTTTAAAATAACAGCCATCCCAGTCAAATCGCATCTTCAATGAATTCCTTTGGAAATCATGTAGGTGCGATTTACTTGATTTTCGCATATGGGCGTACTTAATAATATGTAAAATATAAGAATGGTTGTTTGCGGTGGCTTGGTATCGTATAGTAGGTAGGTAGGTGTAGAAAGGTATTATTACGAATCACGATGAATAGATGAATATACCTCGAGGCGTTATTACTTATTATCCGTTTAAGCCGATCGTTGTAGTAATTGAAAATCCGATGTTATTGATATGGAAATTGAAATTTCGGATTTTTTTTTCGTTTAACCATCATAATAATATACGGTATATACTACACGTCTACACACATTGAGCAGAGAAAAAGTGATGCGTTTCGTGAATCACGCCAACGCCATAATATCGTAATAAACCATTTTTTTAAAATCACATATACGATTAGACGAAAACGCTTGTTTTCCGGAAAAAATCACATTGTGAACTGAAAAAGTTATAACTCACTAATAATAGACATTTTTTGTTAACACTATTTATGTACATCAAATTCAATTTTTAAACCTCTCAAATGCATTGAAAAACTTTTTTCAGTAGAAATTTTGTTTTGAATAAGTTTAAGCAAATATGACGGCTCATACAATATTTGTTTAGCCACTTCAATCAAATAAACTCAAAACATAATATTTATTAGTCAGCTTATACAAAAAAAAACCATGTTTATATTATTATATAATACAGTTGGTAATAGGTCAATATCACATAATTCCCTATACCAAATAAGTTCCTTTTTTATAGGTATACTACTCTAGAATCGACTGTATTTATAACAAACTTGTTTATGATGTTTAACTTTTAGTTAAATAAATACAACGTTATATTTTTACTAAGTTACTACAAATAATAAAATACAAATATGAAAAATAATCATTTATATTATTTAATTTTTTGAAATACTTTTTGCCCTAAGATAGTCTTTACATTCAGCTAAACATGCGTATTCACGATCTTATACTATTGTATGCGTTCCTAATATAAATTTACAACATTAAACATAATATTAATATACTGTATTAATGATAAAGTAATAAAGTAATACAAAATTATAATGCCAATATTGTATAGGCAATTACCCATTTTCGAAACGTCACAGCTTTTTTTTATTAAGAAACCCTTGCTTAAAACTTACTCCATATCCAAAGTCCTAATAAAGCATAAACATGATGTATACTTACTTTAAAATTTAAAATACTGAAGAAAGAAATGTTTACTATACATCCGTTAAAAATTATATTATACTATATTCTTTAATTTTAAATATTATTTAAATAATATTTACGCAATTATTAAAATTCAAAACTCAATATTAAGACATTTAAAAAACACGATACAACTTTTCCAATTAAGTGAGTTTTAATCATCAACCTAACTAGGATATTCCAACATACAGAGTAACGAAACAGCAGACAAAGCATCCAAGCAAATAGCACAAACAAACCAGGTAAAAGTACAAATACAAACATACACAGATATCAAAAAACAAATAACAAATATATACACATCAGAATGGGATACAACTTGGAAAAAATAAAAAGAACAACCTTTAATGGCCCACAAATCCAAACATAAAATACAAAACAGACTTTAAAATATTAAGAATAGGCCACACAAGCCTTACTGAAGGCTTCTTAAATGGCCAAAGAACATCCACCAGTATTCACCACATGCGGAATACGTTTAACTGCTAAACATATATTAACAGAATCTTTAAAATACGAAGACCTTAAAAAAAAAAAATCTCTTACCTCAGAAATTATTCGAAGCGAACACCAAAGTTTTGAATTTTTTGAAAATGTCAGAATTAGATAACTTAATTTAATTTAGCAAAATATAAAAAAAAAATGTTAATAAATAACCGTACTTAATAACCATTGCCGTCGTAGCGTTTTGTTTAATAATAGTAATAACAAAAAAAACTTAACACATAACCTTGTTTTACGGATGTTTATTCCACATTTATAATTGTACACACTTCTTATCACACTTTCTCATGTTATTATATTAAATACCAAAATTAAGATTGGATATCCCTGCTTTAGTCTGTGGCAACTCAAAACTCTCATAATAACAATAGACTTATTTGGTAACGGATACCTTTGTTAGTGCTGTTAGTTCAGAAGGAAATCAAAATTTGGACATGATATTACTTAAGCTTATCCAATATAAATTAGTACGTTTTTATGAAATCGATAAATACTTGCGATAAGATTTGTCGAAATTCTTATATTTTTTTGATTATCTACACAATTATTCACTGTTAGTTAATTGTCAATATTCTTTTAAACCACTTATTCACTAATTTTTTTTTCAGTTGAGATCGAATCTGTAAAAACTTTCAAATCAAATTATGCACTGCATTCAGTAACGTTATTTTTCTGTAATTTTTATTATTCAATTAGTTTGTTTTTTTTTTTTTTTGTAAAGGAATATTAATGGTTTTTCTCTATTCATCCAATTCCTTACACCATTTTCTGCAATCTTAGTTTCTCCGATACTTCCTCATTTAGAAATTTATCGAAGTATAGATTATTTATCTGTTGTTTCGCCTAGTTTATTTATATAGTTTCATCTACACGCTTAACCTTTTTAACGCAAAATTAAACTTCTTATACTTCCTAATTTTTTGTAAAGAAGTTTTGCACTCTACCCTGACAGTAGTCCAGTTTGATACTAGGTATAAAGCAATTCGTTATATACTTTCTCTTTAGCAAGTTTTACACATCTTATATTTTTGCTCGAATACTTTTTTAGCCAATCCTTACTTTGTACACTTCTACACTCACTTTACGTTAAACCAATTCTTGGAATATTTGATTCACTGAATGTAATTGTTGCCGATTTAATAGTTGTATCTCTGATTCCCTCTCTATGACAATTCTCACCATGTATGTAATTTACCTGCAGTTATACCATATCTAAGTTTTTGTCAATGATGAAATCGTCAATTTTTGAGCTGAAATTATTTCATTTATTATTTATCATTTTCACTATTTTCAGTTTGAAAATAAATGTATACATCTAGATTCTACATAATGCACCTTAATTCTAAATTAAATTAACCATTGGGATGTTGAGTCAAATTTACTTACACACAGTTCATAATATTTTGTCTTTAAAAAGCCAGTTCTAAAGTGGTGGCGGCTCTCCCATCTATTGCAATAAATAATATTAAGTTCTAAAACTCTCATTTGTCCTGATCCCTCACATCTTATTTCTAGAAACGATGCTATCGTATATAATATACCTATTATAACATTTTTATTTAATTTTGCTTACAATGAAAAATCTTATCATGATTTTCCCTAAAGTTTATTTATTTTTGAAGTGTACCTACATATTATAAACGTAGTGCTTCTTGAGATTTGAACGAATTATATTGAACAAATTCAATATTTTGCGGTAGGGAAAAAACTTATAGTCTCGAATTTATTGACTAGAAATTTGGAATGTGTAAAAGTTGATTTCATTGACAGAACTTGTGGTATGAAATCGAGGTTTAAACCTGGTTTGAATTTATGTGCGAAAGAAACTGTTTTCTCTTTATTGACCACCACCCTATTTTTAGACTGATATTTTAACTCAATTCAATTTAGTATAATATATCTTACATACAATATAAAACACAATAAAATATTGATCAAAGGGATTGTTTCTGTGTCTACAGGCATATCGAATTAAATAAATAAATAAATATATTTATTACATACAAGTATATAGCTACTATATTGAACTAACTTTAAATATTTATACTTGCAGCTGAACGTGACTGCTTAGGGTGTCAAAATAAACCTGTGTTCCAGCGATCAAGGGGTAAGTTTTAATAGTTTGCATTTCAATTTAAGCATAATATATACTGCATCACAATAAATATTACGTTATAATTTGGTGCAAAAACAAAACCATAATTTCTTACGTCATAAAAGTTGGAAAAAATCAAACTCCAAGTCAGCGTGCTTATGGCTTATGCATTGGACATAAATTAAATTTTCGAATACTCCATTCGTGACGAGAGACTATGCTACGCTTGTGGCTTTTAACGTGTACATGGCATATGCGTCGAGTTTTATTTAATTTTCACCACCGTCAGCAAATTTGACGGGCACCTTGACGCAAGAAAAATAACATGTATATTATCCGAACACCAAGTAACTTTCTGATACGTGCCACGTACCGATGGCTAATAAACCTGTTACAACAAAATTGTTTGGTTACACTCCAGACAAATTCATAGAACACCATCAAAACTTAATAACATACCTAATTACATTTCATATAATATAATCAGTTGAGTAATTTATCACTCCTGTTTCATAATATTGGTCCATATTGTACTTGTATGTTAATAATGCATTTTTTATTCAATTATATACTTTTTTAATATTAATGACGTAATTCATTGGCGACTTAATTTCGGTGTTTGAATGAGTTCATAGTCGACTTTGATATTTCCAGTTAAAAAAAAAAAATACAAAATTTTAAATGTCATTCAATCTTGAGCGGAATGGAACAACGACATTATCATTTATATTGATATACGCACTTGTGCACTTTTTAATTCCTTTAAAAAATAATCCGACACATGTATTATACCGTATAATATTATACAACAATATCATCGTCGCTTACTTACTGCTTGGTTTAATGGACACTCGTTGGCATTTCCGCCTTACCTCGCGTCACCGGGAAACATAATCGGCTTGCTCGGTGGAGGACTGAGATAGTCGTAATAATGGTTTCTCCCTCCCCTTTCTGCAATCTTCAACTGTCGGCCCTTTGGTTTTTACGCCTAATGGTTTTCAAACGTCTACACCCTACATCACATTCACATAGCTCCCGAAACCGTCGGCAGCCGTCCCATTTATATCCGTTCCGCTCGTCTCTCGTACCACTAATATTCGCCGTGCGAGCATTGCTGAAAGCTATTGATTTGACGGCCAGTAATTCGCATGTCACGCGATCGGAAATATGAATAATATTCCAGAAAAAAGGAATGATATTTATTTAACGGCAGCGTTTTGTTATCATACATTTATTGACGTCTATCGAATAATATTGCTGCATTACATTGTATTATTATTATTTTTGTAGCATAATTATAGTTTCTTTCGACCGCCTCGCACGTCACAATTAAGAAACACTCTGTAGAGAATATATTTTCTGAATATTATTTTCTCGGTATTGCCTGGTGAAATTAGGTTAGCTTTGGCAGAACTACAGCTAGTAGAATTTAAAAATTACTTGCGGAGTACAATTCGGGTATAATCAATTCTGCCCACAAATATTTAGAAAATTTCAATCTAGTGATTACAAAAATAATAGTTTTATTTTACATTAGGTGATGACTCAACTCATATCTTTAATACGAAAAAAAAATTATGGGACATTTTGAATTACGTATCACTTCATAATAGTATAATACTTTACGTACATTTTCTAAATACTAAGTTATACATACATTTCTTATATTATAAAATGTTTGATGTAGAGTGTAGACAACTATTAAAAATTTAATTTATCTTAGTTACTTTCCTAAACAGATTTTAGATAAAACAGAATGATAAGATCAAAGTTATATTTGTAAAAACGTTTTTACTTCGTTTTCCATTCATAATTCAATTGAGGTTAAGTCTTCTAATAGAAATCTATTTAAAACTATTCTATAGGGACAGTTATGTACAACATAATGATTTATGCCAAGTTAAGTGAGTTTAGTTGTGATACCATAATATGAAAAAAAAGTACTAATAATAACATATAAAATAATTAGTGTCATTGACATATAATAACATAAAATCACCATTAATAAATAATAATTTTAAAATGGTATTATTACTTCGCTGTTTGTACAAAATACGCAAAACTACAAAATATTGTTTGAATTTATTAATTCTAAATTTTTCATCATTTTGGCGTGAATAAATATACGCTCATTTGCTTTTGTCAACTGGAGAGTGTAATATCAAAAGGAGGGATTTTTCACATTTACATGCAGATATTTCTGTAGTTTTTTTTTTCGTTGTCTATTGTCTGTTAATTATTTTTCAAGAAATAATGAAGACTAACACAAAGGTTTTATTAAAGAGAAAACGCCATTTCATTAATGAACCAAAAGAAATTCATTTTTTTTTTTTTGGAATGGCGTTGTAGTAATACAAAACTGATACACCAGAAAATATTGTAGAAACCATTTTTATATAATTACTATCGTTAGAGAGTATACGACAAAATATATGATGAGACATGGTGTATTATTATACACAGGTAATATTATATTTGATACATATAATAGCTATTAAATACAAATTTAATTTGCAAATATTTAATAACTAAAATTTGTAGAACCAAGTTATTGTACAGAGTTAAAAAAATGTATCTCAAGAAAATATATAAAAGTATATAAAAATTAAAGGAAAATGTGGTGGTTTCGAGATAATTTTTGTAAACATTGGAGTGAAGCAATTTATAATGACAATTATAAATTATTAAAATTAATAACATTTGAAATAAACAGTCAATTCAATTGGAAGTGAAAATAATGTAATTTTAAGCTTAAAATTTAACAAAACAGAGGATAATAGCATAAAAGTTAAAATATAATAACCAATCGAAAAATAATGTGAAAAAAGTTAAGAAAAAAGTTAAACATAATTAAAGATAAGTACCTACCTTAAAATAGTTAACAATATAATTGTTTAAGAATTTACATAAAACAAATACAACATTAAGTTTGTAAATATTAATTTATGTTTTAGTAAAGTCGAGTAAGATTTTGTTGTGTACAATAAAACTTGAACATGGTGAGATGATAACGGATCTTATACATATAACACATTACTCTTAAACACCACACAAACATAATATGCAATTACATCTTTTGTGTCAAGTCATATTGTGTTGAATTATATTCATAAAATATAATATGACTAAAAATCGTTCACTGACACCAGACACGTCATTAAAACAATATAAATAAATAGGTACATGGAGAACACAAAAAACAATAGTTACATTTAAATACTCGAGAAACTTACTCACATACATAGTAATTGATAATATTATTGTGCTGGTTGCTATTTTTATCAGACTACTAAAATCAAATCACAAATTTACATGTCTGATAAAATACACGTTGTAAAAAACTGGAACGTGTGCGTAAAAAAGTATTTATACCTCTGTAAACTTTTTTCGACCCGAGTCGATACGAACAAAATATGTGTATTTTTTTTTCGTCGGAGAGAAGCGAAAAATTAAAAAAAAAAAAAAATCATTTATCAATAACTCATACGAGCAAGTGTCAATTAGCGTTCATCCTCGGACGGTTTCTTCGGTGCGGTCGAGCAAAAAATGGAATCGGCCCCCCGAGCGGCAACCGAGCTGCAGTGGCCAATATATAATATTACTGGCTGCTTATATTCGTTACTCAGATTTAACGGTCAGCAGTGTAGAAAGGTTATAAAGAATTACGTTATCGAATTGGGCGGGCGCCCTTCTTTTCGGTTTTTTTTTTATTTTTTCTTACAGCACAGTCAACCTAGTGTATATGTATTATAATATTAAATGGGTATATATATACTGTCGGCCACCGACCCTTTCACGACGTTCCGGAATAATGGATTTATCGGGTTGGTGGATTGTCCGCGGCTATATATTGTACCGTGATAGGTATATATATATACAGGTAAGCACCTATATTCTAATATAGACGAAATGAAGTGAGCAAATAATAAACCTTTAAGCGTATCGTGTATACTGTCCGCGGTATATGGTACATAATGTACGAAAAGTAAATAACGATGTATATAAACATTTGCGACTGGTGTGGGGGGGGGGAGGAGGGTGGTTATGTGGTACGTTATGTGATGCGTACACAAAAGGTATTATATACCTACGAGTATAATAAAATGGCCTTTGCAAACGTCCCGCGATTTGTCCCGTTTTCGTTATTAGACTTAGGTTTTTTTATGCAATACTCATTGTATCGGTGCTTTATAGTAATATTGTATACGAATCGAATACAAAACTGAATAGATATTATACCTATTGCGGTGGTAATACTCAACAATTCAAAAAACGACTGTGTAGCGTTGAGTTAATGTATGATAATTATTATGTTAACACCTAATATCATCAGTACCCGCACTTACCTAATTATAAAATGGTCCCTATGATATTTTTCGATTTATATTGTTCGTTTTTTGTAACGATGATTAACAACGCTGTAGGCATTCTTTTCAAATTAAAACATAATCTATATTCTCAAAAACAGAGTTTTTGTGGAGAGTGCCGAGGGTGGCTTGCTAATTGAAAGTGTTGAGGCCATCTAGATTCCATTATGCCATAAATTGCAATTAGTAAATCTCTATGGAACAAAATACGGTATATTATCAATTACCACGTATTGATCTCATTCCAATTTTAATTTTAACATTTTTATTAAGAATAATTTTTTTCGTTTAATATTTAAATTGATATAACCTCCAGCAACGTTGAAAGGTGGAGAGGGATGAAATGACCAAGGGGGTGAAATAACAGCCATGGTCTTTACACAAAATAATATTATTATTATATACACCAAATTCCTACATTTTTTTTTTTGAAACCCTGAGCTCAAGTACCGAACTACTGTTTAACTTGCATTTTTATACCAAGGAATATTTTCTTGGTACAAACAAACAACCGGAACCTTAAATAACCGGAAGTTTTAACTATCAATTTATTTTATACTCCGATAAATGAAAAAGTTTATAAAGTTTAAAAAGAAGGCTGAACGCATTTTTCTCTGGCCAGTTTTAAAATGTTTAAAGTTGTAA